AGTAAGTATATGCTAATGAATTACTTGATCGATAAACCAAAAGCAACGGAAAGAACGGGAAGACTGCTCCCCTTATTCGATATGCATAAAGATGACATTCAGCTCACGGGACAGATTCCTAAATCTATAGGGCATCTCCTAAAATAAGCCCAGCCTCTCCACCATCCCCTAATCCCAGGACCTCCCCTCCTGCAAACCCTATCGGGTAGCCCAGAGCCAAGTAGTTCCCACCAGAAAACCAGGTCAGTCCAGGGGACAGTAAGTAAGGCAGCTGGGTCAAGTGGTGACATTTCTGCCAAGATGGAAACTGTGACTTCAGGCGGTGGAGAGGGGCAGAAGGGGCGTGAGGGGACAGAGAATGACCGCTCAGGTATGAAAACCTATCGGAAGAAGTACCGAGCAATCCATTGACCAGACTAAGTGACAAAGACAAACGACTTCGGCCACTTCGAGTTATCTGTTGAATGTCCACAAACATCTCAGCCGCGTGTTTATTTTTAAAAAATTTTTATTGACAGCACCATTGAACACCTTTCACTTTTAAAGGTATGCATACGTGCATACATTTTTGGGGGGACTTCACATACAATTAGTAATGAGTTACTTCAACTTGGTATCTTAGAGTTTTAATGATTCCCCCAGATGGGACAATTACACTTGGGCAAAATTGCCTTTGAGGACCAGAAGGAAGACTTTAAGCAACAAAACTCCACAATACTGTAACGTAGCTTCGGACCTCCAGGAAGAGGTTCCTCTGCCTTGAGAATCATCGTCTTTACTGGCTTATTCCCGTTAGAATTCAGAGCAGGTTCAGTGTCTCCAGCCTGGCTTTGTACCGAGAGGACATAGTTGATCCATCTAGCAACATTCGAGAAAGTTCCATGTAAACAAAAAAAGTCCAGAATAAAACTCCGGAAAATGACACGATCTGCACTAGCTAAAGTCCCAATTCATACCAACATTTAGATTGCAGTGAGGAGTATGGTCTGAGGCAAATTCCATTTGAACAGATAGTTTTCTATTCAATAATTTCATTCTTGCTTCATTCCTGTGGCTACTCACGTGCAAATATACTCAGAGGCACAAACAGGTGACAATTTATCAGGTATAGGACAGGCATGCAGTCAGTCATCATTATTCCATCAAAATTTGAAGCACAGATCAGGGCAGGTTTCCTCAATTTTTCCAAAACAAGTCTTTTTGTGCAAGAGTGTGGAGATGCATTTAAAAGCAGGATCATTTAAAAGCAAAAAAAAAAAAATACATTGTTTCCTCTTGGAAAAAAAAATGGATAAGATTTAGCAAAGGATTAAGTTTAGCCATAAATGATGAAGAATTTTTATTAACATCTGAACTTGTCATCGGCACTAAGATGAGCTGCTTGTCGAGAACCACAACTAAAAACATCGTTAAGTTTAAAACTGGCGGAACATTAAACACCTTAACCCCAATAATCGATTGTACTGATATTATCTGTTCTCACTTTGTAGGGGGTTCATCGAATTGTGAGCACTCATGAGTTGAAAAGGCTAGTGAAGGCAAATGTTTTTCTCTTCACCTCACTCATGAATGACCGATCTGTATAATCAGATTTGTCAGAGCTTTTTTTTTTTTTTTACGAATTGTATGTTTTCTTTAAATGTCCAAAGTTCCTATTTAGAGACGACTGTAATTTTTACGAATAGTTTGATCTCGCCTTTAAAAAAAAATTAAGAGCGAACGCTGCAGAAGTGATTATATTAAGAGCTTTCCTCAGCAACATCCCTCAAGTTCCTTTAGGTTAAGTTAGTGATTCACAACTAGGGGCATTTTCCTCCCCAGGGGATATGTAGCAATGTCTGGGAACATCGTTGGTTGTCACAACTTAAAAGGATGCTACCGGCATCTAGTGGATAGAGGCCAGGGATGCTGCTAAAAATCTTGCAGTGCACAGGACAGCCCCACACGACAAGAAATTATCTGGTTTAAAACGTCAATAAATAGCAAATCTCTACTACTTCGTGGGTCAGCTGGCCTTATTATAATCCCAAATCTACCTCGGTGAATCTTTGACATTCGAAGTACCCATTCCGGCTGAAATTCCTGATTTATCCACTAGAGTTTGGCCAACTGGTGGTGAAAAATAATAACAATAATTAATTATGGAGAATATTTTAAATTCTTCAAACAACGTTTCCTTATTTTATTGATATTTTATCAAAAATGTTAGAGGGATCATATTTTTTCCCATCAATAATAAAGCCTGGTAGCCTTATGGATAGTCCTAATGGCCAAATATCATGAAAAAAAAAATTAACCTCTGTTTTCGAAAACAAATGGAAAATTAGGAAAAAAAAAAAAACCACATTGATAGAGTACTTCCTATCATTATGCTGAAATACTGTGGAAAGGGCCCTTTTTATGGAGCTAGAAGGACAGATGGTCACCGCCGAGTGCCGTTCCCGTGTCCCCCACATTGCAGCATGGATGTTCCTGACCCAGCGCACACAGAGGAGGCCTAGACTTTTAAAAAATTATTTCCGATTCTTAAAAAAGGAAGAGAGAGAGAATTTTCTGGAATTAACCTAAGCACACAGGAACACTAAACTGCGTGACAGTATTTTTTTTTTTAATCCCAGAGAAAAACATGGTTTATATCCACTGTTTATCAGCTGCAACGGCCACCAAGCAGAGCTGATTTAAAGGGAGAAAAGAAATGTTTACATTTCCTTGGAAGAATTAAAGTGCAGGACAAGGAAAAGCCAGGTAAAAATACCGCACGCCAGGCATCACTGTGCCCGAGACACACCGAACCAGGTAACAAAAATAATGCACCTAACTAGCTCGTTTGGACATTATTAAACGCACTCAGTCAAACTATCTTAAAAGGTATTATTTCACACTGGCTCTACTCCATAACTTGGTATGTTCATAACTGTCCATCAAGAATACTTTTCTGAGGTTAGATTTAATTATGTTGGAATTATGTACTTTTTCCTTTCCAGAAAAATACTTTAGAGATTAACTAAATAGCATTATTTGGATATAAGCAAATACACATTCCTGTAGCCAGTTACACAAAACTAAAAAATTATCATTTTTCCCTTTTAATAAAAAAAAGGATATGAAATTAAATGAGACCTTTAAATGCGAAAGTAGGGGACAGATTTTTTTCTTTGGCTCCAGACAAGCATTTCAAACCAACATTTATTTAGGAGAATTTGGTTTACATATCACCGTGATGAGTTGCATAGAGAATACCCTGTTTTGTGTGAGTACATGCTGCGTTTTTAATATTAAAAATAAAAATGTTGTCATATTTTACCCCTTTTTTGGCTACAAAGTACATACAGGCTAGTCCAATAAACGACTAGGGATAAAATCTATTTAGACATTTTTCTACTTACCTAATTCATGGCTAATTTAAACTTAGATGATAAATTTTCAAGGAATAAAAAATTCTTATCCTACCGATCACAGTTGCTTACTTATTTCTGCCTTAGAATTCAAGATTAAGACGTTTTATTAAACGGCATTTATGCTGGAAAATGTGGATACTTTTTCTGTTACCAAACCCAACAGTTCTGATGAATACGGTGCAGTTCTAAACAGGACTCAATGTTTAGAGTCTAAAATAGGATCGTTTTCGATTTTGCAACCCATCAAAGAAGATTCTAGTTTTCTTGTGAGGCACCTCCCATTTTCAGATACCTATTTTGAAACAGTTCTGATTAAAACATTGCTGTCTAAACTATTTGTTAAATACATGGCAGGTGCTTCTCCAATACTAATATAGGTCAGTTATGGTTATGGATCCAAATCAGATTCCAATAAATTTATTTGAACTTGGTGATATGGGTCAGAGACATAGAAGAAGAGTGTAAGCTCCTCAAAACACACCGAAGTCAGTAACGAACTTAATTCTCATCTCTCCCTCGGACATACACTTTTCATCAAGTTCCTGGTTGGCAACAATAATAAATACTTTAAAATACATCCAACTAAAGAAAAATCGATCTTGCTTAATTTGGGGGCAGGAATGAATCTTCAATGGCATATACTCTTCTATCCCAGTAATGTTCATTTTTCTCCTGGTAAATGCAACATAGATAATGTGATCATGTAAAAAAAAAGATTCACGGGAAATTTGGACAAATAAGTCAGTCATTATTAAGCAATAAATGAAAACAGTCCCAACTGGACTGACTCTAAAAAACAGTATATAAGTACTTGTGTCACATGTAAGGAAATAGAAATGTTCCCCAACTTTACGTGAAAAAAAATGTTATATATATTTAAACATTTGAAACGCCCTATAGCTATAGTTCAGTTCACTACAGAAAGTAAACATTCCTTTTCTCCCCATCTCATAAAATGAGGCGGTCAAAAGCATTTTCTTCCTGCTTCCTCCCACCCCTTCCCCAATAAACTCGACTTCCTCTAATATTCTGAGAGTGTTTTCCACCTTAATAGATATCCATTTTACATTTATTCAGAAATGAGTCCAAGAAAAAATGTAAGCAATGATAAGACGACTTATCTTTTCTCTTAGGATCTTCCAGAGGAATGAAAAAAAAAAAAAAAAAGCCATTATGGCATTATGGTTCTTAAGTTTTTATGATGTGCTTGGCTGTGAGCTCACCTGAGAGTCAGCTAGAAGTTCTAATCAGTTTAAAACAAATAGTACTTTGAGCCCCGTGTCCAGTCACGGAGTCCCCACTTTCGATGTCCCTGATAACTACGCCAGTGCAGTTTGCTTTGGAAAATAAATGCGCAAACTCAAACAGTCGAAGGGCAGCATGAGACACCCAGGACCATCATACCAAGGGGCTACCGGATCAGTCACGTAAAGATTAACAGACACAGTCAATTATCATCCCAAAGAGCCCACCCCTCGCTCGATACAGAGAGTGTGCATTGCAAGTGTGGTCAGTGTCTACAGCCCACAGAGCTCTCTCCACAAGCCAAGCTGGTGGCTCCAGGGTGCCTCGTCTATACAGTCTGCGCCCGTGGGTCTCAGATCAAAAATGGGTGCTGTTGACATAACATTGGTCCTCCTGAGTTTTGGTAAAAGCTTGTCCACGGTCACTCACAGAGCCATCCAAAGATACTTTGACAGCCACTTCTGTCATTTCTCTTCGGCCGAGGCCTTCTGCTCGGTACGTGTCTACAGGAGAGGAGCCATTGTGCTCGGCACAGCCATTGACGTGGGCCAGAGGCAGGGCCCCAGGGGGACAGCAGAGCTGCGTGGCACAGGCCTTGGAGACGCAGGGTGAGTTGCAGAGGAACAGCGACTCCTTCTGCCCCAGGGTCTCCTGCGAGTCCACCTCCTCAAACTGGATGGTCACGTTGTGGATTCCCGCGTTGTGGAAGATTTCTCGAATTTTCACGTTGGCGTCCTGGTACCCCCTGTCCTTCTCATACTTGATATGCAGGGTGGCGACGACCTTCGCACTTACGAGTTCCCAGATGTGCAGCTCGTGAACGCTGCTGATTCCAGGCACGGCAGAGAGTTTACTCACTAGAACGGGGAAGAGCAGATGACAGCTCAGGTGAGAGCCAGAATCGAAAGGTGGAGCCACCGCGGGGAGAGGTGTCGTCCCTTGAGCCTTCTCACGGAAATGGTGCATTTATAACGTTCCGGGAAGAGAAATAGCCTCACCTGTCCGAGTACATTTTCTCCTAATCCTCTTTCTCCTCTCTGAATTCCTCTACCATACACCGTTAGCCCATCAGAGGCAATTCAAGAAAATAAATTTAATAACAACAACAACAAAAATGGCCGGGGTTGCCGAGTTTACAAGGGAATGGACGATCAAATGGACTGCCTGTGGGAGTATAAAGCAGGATGCCTTTTCTAAAGGGGATACGTGGGAATATGGATCGAAAATGTTTACCAGCAATTCTAATACTAGGAATTTAACCTAAAGGACATCACCAAATATTTACGTACAAGAATGGTTTGGGCAACGCTCTTTGTGTTGAAGAACAAGAATGGAAGCAACAGGGAATAGTTGAATCGATTATACAGCAGAATATGATGCAGCCATGAAAAAGTAAGTTGCATATTTAAGAATGTGGGGAAGGTACATACGGTATTTTTCAGTGAAGAAGCACTTAGCTCAAATGTATACATGGCATGATGGCTCCTTTTCTTTTTTTTTCTTTTTTTTTTTTTTACAAAATATCAGTGTCTACACACAAGAAAAGTTTTTTAGGCAGTTAAAGCCTTGTTTTATTGAACGATCGATACAGCGATATTATGAGTGGTAATTTCTGGGTGGTAGGACTATGAGAGATTTTTCCGATTTCGCCTCTTCTGGGTTTTTTTTATACTTTCTAAAATGGTATGTATTTAGGGAGATGGTATTGAATATTGATTGCGAGCAAAAACCTTGTAACTAGCTAGAGTCTCAATCCCACGTAATCATTTACTACCTGCACGATCTTAGGCAACTTACCTGGTCCCTCTGTGCCTCGGTTTCCTTATACGTAAACTAGGAGTGATAAAAATGGTACCTGATGGGATTATTTTAAGGATTAAATTGAGTTCATTTAAGAAAAGCACTTAGAATGATACCTAGCATATAAGGGCCATAAAAGTGTTGTAATTGTTATAACTATCTACTTTTTAAACATCTGTTTTTAAATATATATATATATATACACAACTTTGTTAAAAGGCGGTATAAGTCACGTATTGCTTTGTATATGTTTATCTCCCTTCTTTTTCCTGGAAAGCCAAGACAGCACGGAGCACCTGCTCCCTGAGCTCTGCCCGCGGCACTGGGCTAAGAGGAGGTGGGCAAGAAATGGACACTGATTATTTCAACTCTGTCTGGTACAGCAGCCAAAGCTGACCTCACCCGACTGCCTCTCAGAGACAGTAAACTAACCAAAGCTGCCAAAGAAAAGGCCCCCCAAAAGGCGAAAAGAACATCCAGGGTGGGGTGAGGGAAGCATCGTATAAGGCAGCCGAAGGCAACAGCGCAATCCGCTTGAGGGCTGTGCCCGTCACGGTGACGCTGTAAATCGCAACAGTGACGCTATAAATCACACCTTCACAGGGGAATGTCTGACTGTGGCCAGACAAAGCATTAACATCCACTTAAATCTAATTTCAGGTATTTGTCATCACATAGGTCTTTCGACTTTCAGTTTCAAGGCAGACCTGGGCTCTATTTCATGTCTGCTGGCTCCCAGGAGAAGCAATGGCAGATACAACAGCAAACCTGCGTGAAAACCTTTTTTTCTATAAAAACATGATCCCCGTTTAGAAACACTAGATGTAAAGTTGCATATTGCGTTTCTCACCAGCACCTGGGTGGCTCCCATTTAGAAATTCCTCAAAGTCTCTAAGCTTTTTGCCCTCAGCTGCACATAACTAACGTGGGAGTCTGACCTTCTGTACGAGCAGAGAAACAGGTTCCATCACTGAATGAGGTCGTGAATGATCTGAATTTCAAACACTGTCCTCTGTACCGTGTTGTAAGGGACACTGTGACTCGTGTGCCCATAAAAATCAGTTAACTAGAACTCGGGGATCTAGAGGACGAGTGATGTATGGTTTCGGAATGAGGAGAATAAAAAGCAAGTTCTCGGCAGAGTGGCCTCCTGGGAGTTAAAATAAATCTTTGACTTGAAGGGAGATAGGCCAGAAGTGGGTACTGCCTGAGCACTGCAGACGCAAGAACTTACAAAGGACCTTTGGTCCTTGGAGCTGTGACTCACACTACTTAAGCTACAAAACGTCTGTGGTGTGTCTAGTGCCTGGTGATTTGAAGTCTGTCACACAGATCAAACGCTGCTCCGAACTGCAGCTGGGCCTCCGGCCCGAAGGACATGGAGTGGACAGCGGCGCTAGCTCGGACCCGCCCGACTTACTCAGCTCTTCCACCTTGATTCCTTTGGGGACCATCTGCAACAGAATGACAGCGGTCTCCTTGATGAGTGGGAAGGCAGATGACAAAATGATGATGACCATGATGATGGTCAGGCTGGGGTCGATGTAGCATTTCCAGTTACACGGGTCCTCGTCTTTCAGGGGAAGCGTGTAGAATATGATGGCCGTGATCACCACCACCACCGACCCCAGGGCGTCTCCCATCACGTGCAAGAGCACACCTGCCGGGAAGAAAGAAAGACCTCTAACGCATGGATCCCGGGTGGGGAGCCACGTGACACTCGGCGACTCGGGGTCCAAGTCTGCGGAGACCTGTTGCTGTTTGTTTTCTCTTTGGTTAGAACAGCAGGATGGATTCAAAGCAAACAAACGCAATGGCAGCTGTTGTGCAAAAACCAACCCCTAGGCCACCATCCCAAGCCCCAGAGGATTCAGACATCAATGGGAAGACGGCTGTGTCACCTCACAGTGCCACATGGCTGCCACCCACCAGCCATCAGAGGACACCAAGCTGGAAATGGAGGCTGTGCAAAAGATTTGTTTTCTTCCAGATTGCGCTTTCAATTGTTTCAAACATTCTTTACGAGGAGAGGGAGCTAAGTGTATCTTTTTATTGTCCTCCTTCGACCTTGATCTCGTTGACACCTGGCTTCGTCCTAACCACATTTGTTTTGAGAACAGGGAGGGACTCCATCAACGTTCTCATGGAAGAAAGCGCCTTTTGTCACAGTAAAACAAAATTAAAATTCTACAGATAATAAAAAATGAGGACGCTTTTAATGAAGGGAACAGTTTCTGAGGTTTCCACTGCGAAACAGAAAACAGGCAATTCTAGCAGAGATCTGGCGTCCAGTGGTTTGTTTGGCGTGAACTACACTGGGATTTAATGAATTCGGCGAAAATGTTGCCAGAAGGATTATAAAATATCAACACAAAGTATACACACACACACACACACGGAAAGCAACATCAGAGTCTTGCTACTCAAGGTATGGTTTGCAGACTCACATGGCCTGGAAGCTTGGGAGGAATGCAGAATCTTAGGCCCCACCTCTGATCTATTGGATCCGATCCTGCATTTTAACAAGATCCCCAGGTGATTCAAACGCATCGCGTAAGAATTTCCAAAGAAGAAAGCTTCTATCAAGGAAGGTCTGCTTTGTCTCTCCAACTATCCCACAGAGTCACTCAGGAAAATTAGTAATAATCCAAAACACTATCGACAACCTCATGGCTATGACCGAACAGTCTCGCTTGGAAGATATTTTACTTGGGTTAATTCTTCCTCTTGGCAACACTCCTAAGATCCTGAGTAGCATCGGCGTAGGTAAAACGGCATTCTGTAAACACACTAAACGTAACTTAAATTCAGGGAGCAGCCTCATCTCCTAGCTCTGTGGCCTCTTCTTCCACCCTCCACCCTCAGAGGAGCTTCTCCCTCCCCAGTCCTGAGCCACAAAGGGAAACTCGAAACATTTGGTCAACGCGCCTTGTTCCTCCAGAAGGAACTGAAGATCGAAGCTTTAACCTCTCCAGGGCAATAAAAAAATACCACCAGAAAAATACGAAGACCGAATATTTCCTAGATGCCCTTCACCTCATTTTCACGGCCCGAGATAGTCTGATATTCTGAGATTGTCTCCTGCATGTCAGCCTCATTTCCTCCTCTAGACTATAAATAATTTCAGGCTGAGGGTCACACTCTATACTTTCTTTGCTTAAATTTTAGCACCCACAGCATACGATGTAGACACTCGAGAAAACAGCGTTTTCTGGTTGGAGAGCCACAGCGCCCACCGCCGAGAGTAACTCCTGTCTTTTGCTGAATAACATCAACCGGACAGGCTGCCACGTACAGTACACACCAGATGTTATTCTACGTCTGTTCTATGTATTTACACATTAAGTTCTCTTTAGGACTCTCTGAGTTGGTTACTCTCTCCATTTTACCAAGGAGGGAAGTAACAGAGTAGCGAAGTAACTTATCCAAGATCACACAGCTGGAAAGGGTCAGAGCTGGGATGTAAGTCTGGGAGGTCTGACAAGAGAACCATTGTGCAACTAAGTCCTAAATTCTAATTTCAGGTTTTCCTTCTGAGAAATTTCGTAGCCCCTAGGAATTATATCAAATAGTTTGCAAACTTATTTTCTCCATAATCCACAGTAAGAAGCATATTTTGCTTCCTAGAGCGTGCACACACGCGTGCCCATACACACACACGCACACACACAGAAACAAATGTTCGGTGAAAAATCAAAACCTAGCCTTACATATGATTTGCTACTATTTTCTATTCTATTTTGTTCAATTCTAGGTGATTTTCTAAATGCCGATCGGACCTTATTAAACTGATTTCATAACTCGAACCATCATAGCCTTCAGTTTGGAAAACTGCTTAAAGCATCGATTTCACTAAATCCTTGAGACTGGATGTTGCCGTGTGTTTTCTGGCCTCCCGCATGAAGATGAAGCAGGTCATTATCCTTGAGGAAGCACCGTCCACCAGCAGGATTCTGAGACAGGTGTGTCAGTCACCTCCACAAAGAAGACTAATGCCTGGGATGGGAAACCACAGGGAAGGCTTCTCGCGAGACGGGCAGTGGGGGCAGGACCCTGAAGGGGTGGGAGACAGACTTCAACGGGCAGCTACACGGCGGGCGGAGAGAACTCAGAGAGAAGGCGTCGGGGCAGAGAACTCAAGGGAAGCAGTGGATGAGGACCCGACGGCCAGACCACGTGGGAGACAAATGCCCTAGCTGTGGAGTCATGAACTCTGACAGGTCTCGTGAGCCAGGGACCTCATGAGCCGAGGACCTTGGGAAAGTCCACCTCTGTGAGCAACGAGATCCGAGATCCTCCCTCCCTCGTCTGCGAAACAGGAAATGACATCTGAAAAGCCACTGAGAAGGACGCACCCAGAACTGATGGGAGCAGAGGAAATAGCAGCCTAAACGCCTTGCCCAAGGTCACCTGGCTGGGAAAGGGCAGAGGCAGGACTTAAAGTAGCTGCGCCTCCCTACGCACCTCTGCGCATTAAACGGTAGGGGCGAGGAGCAGGGCGGAAACATCCAGAAAGCAGTGTTGGCACCAGAACAGCGCGCCCTTGGACATCAGTGTTAGAACCTTATGTTGGAGGTAGCAGAGGTTTCTGAGCAGACTCCGATGCGATCGCCTCTGTGATTCAGACAGACAGATCGGGCAGCGTTATCTGAGGGACAAAGTAGCCACTGGACAACTCGATCGTCTGATTAGACATGATGCTCACAAGGCAACTTTGCAAAGACGGGACGCCTTAGCGCTGGACCCTCGCTTGCTGTCTCTAGGTAAAAACCAACCTCCAAAATAACTGGCATATACCATGAATTGGCGATTGGACATCGGGTGGAATTTGAGGCACGTCCCAGCCCCTGGAAAAGTCATCCGTGCTGTTGAATTTGTCGAATGACTAGAAACACAGCTCATTAGCTTGGGGCATTCTTATGGGAGAACGAGAGGTCTTTCTTATGAAGAAAGGAAAACAAGAATTAGAATGAAACACCTCATCGAAGAAGGGTTCGTTTCAAACGAGGTCAGGACGGCAGTTCATCCACTGACAGTTATGCTCAAAGGGCTCGTTGTCTTTCTGACATCCTGCTGCAACATTTTTAATGTGTCACGTTCGATCGTATTAAACAAAATCGACCACGACAAAGTACACTGACAAGAATTTTTTAAAAGAGAGTCCTCTCACTGTGCTTCGCAGTAGTAGGTGATTCTTAGAAGGCATTTTTTAAAAATTTCACGGGAATAAGAGAACCAGTGACGAAAATCAAGAAACGATTCTTGTTCACAAGAATCCCCATCAGACGTTTGTTCCCCTGCGGTCCTGCTTTCTAGAGCAGTGGCTTAAATGTCAGGTAAGCGTTCAGCGGACTGTGTCCACTGGACACGCAAGCCGACCCGCCTGGAGTCTGGAGACAGCGAGCGATGACGGAAATGCGAACAGGAGGCCAGGGTACCTGCCTCTGCTGCCAGCTGGGGTGACGCCGGGCGTCACCGTGCTCTCGGGACCCTGGTTCCTCATCTGTAAAGTGAAGGGGCTGGGGTCCATTTTCACTAAGGCCTGTCCGGCTCTAACATCCCCTGGTCTTTGTCTGAATCGTGGCTCCGAGACGAGGACACAGGGCCTACGGTGAGGCCAGCCTCCCACACAGCCTGCAATATGGAAAGGCTCCTGCTGGCCACGGCACGTGCTCTGAGCTCACCCTCACCGAAGCGGGTCAGTTTGAGCCTAGCGGCTCCACTCACTGTCTGAATGACGAGAACACTCACCTGATCGGATCAATATAATTATTAGGTGACTCATTCGTGAATGGTGCCTGGCACCAAGCACGCACTTCAGGAAAATGTTAGCCAGTTTTCCTCCCATGGGTCTGAGCACTTCACATGCTTTACCTCACAAGAAGCAGACACGTACTATTATTCTCCTCATTTGAAAGATGAGGGACTTAGAGGCTTAGAAAGGTCCCGTGACGCCCAAAGTCACGTAGCCTTAAGTGGCAAAGCCAGGACCCAAACCCGGGCAGCTTGAGCCCATGACCCAATCTTTTGGCCACTTCGTTAGTCACCTCTGTTGGAAGTTAGAGGGGCACTTTTGTCAATACCCGTGGACCACAGGGCTCAGCCGGGGACAGCAAGGCATTTTACCTCTGACATTTTCCTACCCTGCAGGTCCAAGGGCTTTAAACTGAAAATGAGCAAAACCATACAAGCTTCCCTTACAATATGCTTCCCAAACTAGGTCAGAATATCTGCTGGTACCTATTCTTAATTCTTCTTGGCTTCTTCCCACCTACCTGTTCTCCTTCTCTGTAACGGAAGATAAGAACGAATAATTAACAGAACATGTTTTGAAGAGTGAAGGTGCTAGGATGGCGAACTCCATCTTAAAAACCTACAATATATGTATTTTTTAAGCCGACCCTTAAAAAAAGAAAAATAAATGAAAAGATATGATTTTTCCTTACAGATTCTTTCTAAAAAAATTCACAACCAAGCTCTTCAGAAATCTCTCTGGTTCAGTTAAATCTGTAAAAACTAATTTATTTAGCATGTTTAGGGGCTCATGTGTTGTTGTTCTTATTATTTTCTGATTTTTCTTATGATCCAGTCCGGGTATCACTTTGTAAAACCGATGGGAGACACTCGGAAATGGAGATGTCTCCTGGATTTTTTGTTTTTCTTTATATTATTTCCATCTATGCTCACAGGCCTCCCCAAATCATCTGAAGGTAAAGGGTTGCATGGCCTTTGTTGACATTCTCAAAGTGAAGATTGGGCATTGACCTTTCCCGAATCACCGTGAAGCCAGGCTATGCCCGAGAAGTTGGAAATCATACTGGTGAGAAACACATCTCTGAACGCCCCGGGCTGGCCTTTGCTCAGTGCTATGACCTTGAGCACATGGTAGAAGGAATGTTAGCGATGCACCTTCTACGTGCCTCACGAGCACCCCCACTGTGGGCCTGGAGGTGGAAATTCAAGTGAGCCAGGAGACCCATCACAGAAGCAGATTTTTGGCAGAAATAACTGAAAGTGACGAGGATCGTTATCAATGCCACCTCGAATGTCACACACCTATTCTCGTCCCACCTTTATCAAAATGACAGTTAAAGCGGGCGGCACTTTGTGTTAGCAGTGTCCTTGGATGGGCAAAATTCAGTGATGTAGGAATATGCCGCCGATCTGTGAGCCTCTGAAGCAGACGGCATTAGCATGGGTCTAAATGGAGGAAGGGTCGATCATTAGCGACCAGAGTCTCCCTTGGAATCAATACAGTGATTAGGCAAGAGACCAGGGTCATAGTCTATGCATGTGACCCGCCTACATCCTAACACACCTGATTCGAAGGCAAACAGAAGATGATGGACGAGGACAGCCCAGTCCACATGCACTGTTAAAGGCACGTCGCGCGGACCCGACGCCAACCCTACCTCTGATGTTCAGGGCTTCGGACTTCTTCTCCTTTCTCCTCGTCTCCTCTGGCTCGTTCTGGGTGCTGAGGGCATCACCTGCATTCAAAGAAGAAACCTTGTGTTGTGTATAAGTTCTACAAACAAAAAGAACCAGCGGATTCAAAAACGGTTTGTTATTTTAAACGCCTCCTTGCTTCTCAGACCCTCTACCTACCTCCCCAAACGCGCGCGCGCACACACACACACACACACACACACACAAAAAAACAAACACAGAGCCGGCCATAGTCAGTGCCGGCCTCGAAATAAGCCCCCTGGTCCATCTTTGAGCTTCGTTCACATTTCCGTTCAAGTTAAAACAAAACAAAAAAAGGCAGTGGGAGCCCAGGCCATAGTCAATGCTGGCCTCGAAATAAGCCCCCTGGTCCATCTTTGGGCTTCGTTCACATTTCCGTTCGAGTTAAAACAAAACAAAAAAAGGCAGTGGGAGCCCACCCCCAACCCCGAAGCCCGGAACTCCCAAGGGGACAGAGAAAGATGGGCCGAGGGGGCGGGAGGAAAAAAGTACAGATCGCACCTGGAGAGGGGAGGGGCGGGGAGTGATGTCCATTGCCCAATAATAACTGATTTCCAAGAAAATCAATAGCGCTGTGCAGAGAGAAGGGGGAGGGGGAGGGCTGAGAGCCAAGGGGGCCCGGGGAGCCGGGAGGAAAAGGAACACGTGGGGAGTCAGAGAAATCGTGGGGAACACGTTGAGTTAGCAGAAGAGGGTCAAAGCGGACCGCGGAGGAAACAGA